TAATTCGCCCAGGTTTCCAGAGCCAGGCAAAGTGGAGAGAATTAAAAAAAGCCGCAGAAAGAGGTAAAAGGAAAGATAATAAACAAACCCGGTGATAAATGGGTAGTTAAGAGGTTGTCTGAGCAGGGATTATAATTAGTTTACATACACTCTTTAAATAGAAAAATACATTACACCTTTCAAAGGCGGGATGAAGAATAGAAGTGCTGGCCCCTGACAAGGACACATCTCGCAGCCCGGTGATAAACTGGAGGCAGTCGAGGCCCATAAATTAAAGAATAAACACCCAAATGCAGGGACGGAAGATGGCAAATGCAGGGAAACCGTGACCAGACAGACCGCTTCCGACTGACCGCACAGACCCCGGAAGGAGGAGGAAGGGAAGGGCACAGATGGGTGAATGAATGGACGAGTGGGTGAATGAATGAAGGCCTCGCCCGGGGAGCCTGGTTCATCCGTGTGGCAACTGGATTCATCAGGGGAGATGTCAGGGCCAGCGAGACTGGGCACAAGGGGGCCCACCTGGGAGGAAAGTCTCTTGTGAACGAATACACTGAGCTGGAATGAATGAATGAATGAATGAATGAGCGAGTGGGGGAATGAATGAATGAGTGGAGGGATGAGGAGGGTGAGCACTAGGGGCCCTGGTACCTGGCTCAGTGTGGGAGGGGTGGATGGGGAGGGGAGGGGTGGGGTAGACAGGCATGGCTGTGCAGGGGGGGCTGTCCCAGGGACTAGCCTTCCAGGTGCGCCACTGCGCCCAGCTTTCAGCCTCAGTTTCCCTGCTGCTGGCAGGCATGGCCTCCCTCAGCTCCCCTCCCCCAGGACTGACCCCACGCTTCCCCCGCAGGGCGCCAACGTGGCACTTCAGCTCTTGGCAGCTGGAGGGCGCTGCTGAGCAGTCAGGGCCGGGTGGGCCTGGGGGTCCCCACTAGGGGGGCGGCAGAGGGCGCGCCCCTTCCCACCCAGGTGCTCAGGACACTCCCACAGGCCTGCTGCGGGCAGAGCTGGGGACCTTGCCATGAAAACTCAGGGGTCCTCGGGGTGGCAGCCCCTCAGCCTCCAGACCCCCTTCCCAGCCCCACACACTCGTGTCCTCTGGGGTGCTCTGTCTGGGGGGCTATGCACCTGGGAACCGGGCGGCTGGTGGGGGGGTCTCCACGTGCCCCGGGGGGGCGGGCAGGATTTGTACTGGGGTCTGGGCGCCCGACAGATGCCAGCCCCTCCTTGGGGTGGCTGCACCCTGATCTCCCCGCACCCTGAGCACGAGGAGCAGGCTCGGGGGGTGGGTGGGCAGCAGGAGACAGGGCAGGGCAGGGCTGGGGGGACGCCAGTTGCAGGGGGTCCGCGGGCGGAGCGGGCTGGCCAGGGGTGGGGTGGGGGGACGGGGGGCTCAGCGTGGGTCCAGCATCGCCGACGGCACCTGGAAGATGACCGCCTCCCACCCTTCCGTGCCTCCAGCACCACGTGTCTGGGCCACGTGAGCAGGCCCACGTGGTCCTGATGTGGTGCTGGGGCCCCAGGGTGCTGCCTCCTCTCAGCGTCGACAGCCTGAAGCCCGGAAGAGAAGAGCGTCCCCGCAGCCGTGGGGTGGGGGCGGGCCGCCAGCAAGACGTGGACTGAGGGTGTAGAACAGTTGGAGGAAGGAAGGGGCAGCGGGGGTCGGGTGGGGAACGGGGCCGGGGGGGTGCTGACAAGACAGGAAGAAGCTTCTAGGACCTTCTAGCAAATTCAGGGGCGGGGGCAGTCTAGGGGTCCCCGGGGTGGAGGTGGGCCAGTGGGAAGTCCCCCTGGGGGCTGGGGTGGGCGGGGGACGGCTCCTCTGTCCTCCCGGGGGGAGCGGGGCCATGCGGGCCTTGACGCTGCTGCTGGAGGTGGACAGAGGAGGGGTCCTGAGGGTCCCGGCCGGGCGTGGGGGCACAGTCCCGGGGACAGCCAGCTGGGCCTCGCTCCTCCTGCTCAGGGTCTCCCACCGGGGCGCCTGACCCCTTGCTCTGACCCCTGCACAAATCCTCCTGCGGACCTGGACACCCCTTGGACTTAAGCTCCCGGCGTGGGGCGGGGCTGTCCAGGCAGGACACCACGGCCTGTTTCCGTGGCCCGGCCCCCCACGTCCCATCTCCCCTTCTGGTCTGGGTGACTGAGCCATCACACCTTGCCCCCGGCCCCCTCTGCCTGGCTCCCCTCTCTCCAGTGCTCTCGTCCCGGGGGAGGGTCTTTCTCAGCGGGGACAGACTCCTCTGCCCAGTGCTCTCACCACCTGGCCAGGGCCTTCCCTGCCGTGCATGACCCCTTCTGTCCAGAGATGGCCTGTCCCTTTGATCGATGACCCCCCAGGAGGGGTTGGGCCAGGAGGGCGGGTGCCAGGGCGTGTCTGTGACAGGGTGTTGGGACGGGCGGCCTAGGAGGCAAGTAGATGAGGAACACGAGGGTCAGTGGTGAACGTGGACGGAGTCGCCGAGACCCGCTGATTGCGGGGTCCTGCTCCCTCGGGGAGAAGCTGTTCTCTTCACCACCATTACCCTGGTGCTAGTGAAGGTCGAACGTTTCCACTTGCGTGTGTTAACAGTTTTTTAACTCCTGGGAACTGTTCTGAAGAGACTGGCCAGCGTCCCCGGCGGGCGGGCTCCGGGGAGGGAGTGACCCCTGTCTCTGGAGGCGTGTGGGGGCGATTTTGAGGTGGTCTGCATTGTGGTGGAGGGTGGCCAGGAGGCCCGTCTGGGGTGTTTGACTTCAGGATTGTCTTTTCTGTGGGACACGGGTCACTGGTGGGCTTGTGTTGCCGTGTCCAGGAAGAGGCCTGGACCCCTGCCCGCTGTCCCCACCTTGGGCGTCACTGGCCTGCTGAGGTCGACTCGCACGGTCAGTGGGTGTGCTGGGCAGCTGGGGACACTGAGCTGTGGGCAGAGGTCTGTGGGTTCGCTTCTTCCTCCCGGCCCTTCTCAGCTCTCGGTCATGGGGTCTGGGTGCTGCTTGGAGGTGCTTCTGCCGATGTGTCTGTCCTTGCTCAGTAGGGGGTCGTGGGGTGACCAGCTCCTTCCCTGCCCGAGTGGGGGGCCTCACCCATCCCCCCATCCCCCTCGACGTCCAGCTGGGGTGGATCAGCCCCCGTGGAGATGGGCAAGGCTGGTCTCAGTAGCTGCGTTCCTGCAAACTCCAGGATGGCAGGGCTGGACGTGGGCACCAGGCCCACGAGGCAGGTGGCACTGACATTCCCTGGGGTTGCCACCCACCCACGCGGGGCCTGGCGTGGAGGCAGCCCTGCTCTGCCCTCTCTGCCTTGCGGGACCCATCTGTAGAATGGGCGCCGAGTGAGGCCCCCGCCCTGGGTGCTGGCCGTGCTGTGGGTGTGCAAGTCACCTGCCAGAGTCCAGCCTGGTCTTTGGGAACTGCTCGGCGGGCACTCCACCCAGTGCTCCCCAAAACTCTGGTGGCCAGATCAGTGACTGACGGGTGATTGGGGCAGGTGTGGGCGGGGAGGGGGGGCGGGGAGAAGGGGCCCTAAACCACGTAGGACTGCGACTTTGCAGACTGAAGGGGTGGCAAGGGGGCTAGAGCCCCCAGAGGAGGGAATGGGAAGAGCAGGGGGCTTTGACACACCGAGAGTTTTGGGGGTGCTGCGGGCAGGCTGGAGGTAGGGGTATCACTGCACAAGCTGTGATTGGGGTGCCCTGGGCAGGCCGCAGTCGGCTTCTGGGGAGCAGGCCCCTCTGCGAGGCCCCGGGTCCGGCGTGCAGCCACAGAGCGCCCCGGGGGGCCAGGGTGGGTGTGCTCATGGGGCGCCTGTCTCCGCAGCCTCCACGGCCCGGCGCCCTCCACACCTTCCCACGAGACAGGCCGCCTCGGGACCCCGCGAGGCCTCCGCCCTCTGACCGACGGACTGACTGCGTGCCTGGCCCCCTCCCGCGAGACTGGGGGCGCAGGGGCTTTGCCCTCCTGTGGGAGGGGCCGACGAACTCCTACCTCACAGGGCTGTTGTGAGGCGCCGGGATCGGGCACAGGAACGAGGGGTGGGTGGGTGGGCGGGCGGGGGTCCGACTTGGCTTCAATAAATGTGTTTTCTGTCTTAACCACCACGGAATGGACGTGCTCCTGGTCTGGGCCGGAGGTGGGCGTCCTGCCTCACGGGCTGTGGGGGGGAGCGTTGTGGCCCGCTGCAGTGTGGGTCAGAGCCCCCCGCCGGGTCTCCTTGTGTCTTCTGTGCCCGGTCTCCGCCTCCTGCCCGTTCCTGGGCACTGGGCTTGGCATGGGGCCGACTCTCCTTCACACGCGGGGCCGGGGGCCACAGAGGTGCAAGCGCGGGCCCCCCCGGGCCCCCCACGACAGCTCGGGAAGGGCCGGCGATGGTCCCGGATGAGACCAGAAGGCCCTGGAGCAACGTCCACTGCACAGAACCCGGACCTGCTGCCGTGACCGCCCTCAGCATCCAGACGACGCCCTCCTCCCTCCTGCTTCTCTCCCCGTCCCTCCTCCCTCTCCCTCCTCCCTTCCTCTTCCCTCCTCCTGTTCCCCCTCCTGTTCACTGTCTTCCTCTCCTTTGCCCCTTCCTCCTCCTCTTCCCTCTTCCTTTCTCTCCGTCCCTCCCTCCTCTCCTCCCTCCTCTGACTCCTTCTCTATCTCCTCTCTCCTCTCCTCCCTCCCTTTCTTCCTCCCTTCCTCTTCCTCTTTCCCTCCCTCCCTCCTCCCTCTTCCTCCTCCCTCTCTTCCCCTGCCTCCTCCTCCCTCTTCTTCCTCCTCTCCTTCCTCCCTCCTCCTCCTCCCTCTCTTCCCCTGCCTCCTCCTCCCTCTTCTTCCTCCTCTCCCTCCTCCCTCTCTTCCCCCTGCCTCCTCCTCCCTCTTCTTCCTCTTCTCCCTCCTCCCTTCTCCTCCTCCCTCTTCTTCCTCCTCTCCCTCCTCCCTCCTCCTCTTCCCTCTCTTCCCCTGCCTCCTCCTCCCTCTTCTTCCTCTTCTCCCTCCTCCCTTCTCCTCCTCCCTCTTCTTCCTCCTCTCCCTCCTCCCTCCTCCTCTTCCCTCTCTTCCCCTGCCTCCTCCTCCCTCTTCTTCCTCTTCTCCCTCCTCCCTTCTCCTCCTCCCTCCTCTTCCTCTTCTCCCTCCTCCCTTCTCCTCCTCCCTCTCTTCCCCTGCCTCCTCCTCCCTCTTCTTCCTCTTCTCCCTCCTCCCTCCTCCTCCTCCCTCTTCCCCTGCCTCCTCCTCCTTCTTCCTCCTCTCCCTCCTCCCTCCTCCTCCCTCTCTTCCCCTGCCTCCTCCTCCCTCTTCTTCCTCTTCTCCCTCCTCCCTTATCCTCCTCCCTCTTCTTCCTCTTCTCCCTCCTCCCTCCTCCTCCTCCCTCTCTTCCCCTGCCTCCTCCTCCCTCTTCTTCCTCCTCTCTCCTCCTCCCTCCTCCTCCCTCTCTTCCCCTGCCTCCTCCTCCCTCTTCTTCCTCCTCTCCCTCCTCCCTCCTCCTCCTCCCTCTCTTCCCCTGCCTCCTCCTCCCTCTTCTTCCTCTTCTCCCTCCTCCCTCCTCCTCCTCCCTCTCTTCCCCTGTCTCCTCCTCCTCCTTCTTCCTCCTCTCCCTCCTCCCTCCTCCTCCTCCCTCTCTTCTCCTGCCTCCTCCTCCCTCTTCTTCCTCCTCTCCCTCCTCCCTCCTCCTCCTCCCTCTCTTCCCCTGCCTCCTCCTCCCTCTTCTTCTCCTCTCCCTCCTCCCTCCTCCTCCCTCTCTTCCCCTGCCTCCTCCTCCCTCTTCTTCCTCCTCTCCCTCCTCCCTCTCTTCCCCTGCCTCCTCCCTCCTCCTCCCTCTTCTTCCTCCTCTCCCTCCTCCCTCTCTTCCCCTGCCTCCTCCTCCCTCTTCTTCCTCTTCTCCCTCCTCCCTCCTCCTCCTCCCTCTCTTCCCCTGCCTCCTCCTCCCTCTTCTTCCTCCTCTCCCTCCTCCCTCCTCCTCCTCCCTCTCTTCCCCTGCCTCCTCCTCCCTCTTCTTCCTCCTCTCTCTCTTCCCCTGCCTCCTCCCCTTGCCCTCTTCTCTCGTCCTCCCCCCTGTCCTCTCCTCCTCCTCTTCGCCTCCACCTTCGCAGAGATGTGTCCCAAGACAAAGGCAGATGGACCGGCTGTGAGTATCCAGGGCAGGGCCACAGCAGCCTGGCCAGGCTCCCGTCAAGGAGAGTGACCCCATTCCTGTTGGACAAGAGGACAAGGACAGACGCATGGCTGTTCATGAGATGGGCAGGAACAAGAGCAGGGCCATGCCTCCGCCCAAGGACCCCCCCTGCCAGCATGAGGTCGGAAGCCAGGTCCTGCGTGGGGGGCTGAGAGCAGTGTCCAGCGATGAGGTCCGAGCAGCAGTGTCCAGCGACAGGGGCCTGCGGGAGCGGCGTCCTGACCCAGCACCCAACCCCAGCCCAGCTTCCCCAGAACAGTTCCGGGGAGCTCCCCGTGGACCCGGCGTTCCCACTGCAGAGACCCTCAGATAAGTGCGCGGAGGCCCCTCCATTGCTCTGGAACTGAGACCCCCGACCCTCCCAGAGGCCCCCGGGAGCCCAGACTGAGACCCCCGACTCCACCAGCATGAGCTCAGATGTCCACCACAAGGACCCTGGGGCTGGATCCCAACCCTGCCATCGTCGTGAACTCCGGTGTCTGTGCCCAAGCCCGAGGCCCCCACCCCACGCCCCCCCACGCCACTGAAGAGTTGGTGACCAGACCACGGCCAGGGACCTGCCCGCAGCACTGGGCATGGCTGAGCCCCAGGAGGCTGGACAGGACAGAGGTGAGGGGCTCAACGGCACCTCAGGAGGCCACCCCGCACCCCGAGGGGAGCCGGTCCCAGCTGGGTCAGGAGAGAGGAGGGGGTCTCTGGCCAGAAGAGCACCCTGCCCATTGCTGCATGGCCAGCACCCGTGCACTGCCCTCCCGCGCTGGACTTTCAACTGCTTGCACAGGCCTGCTAAGTTGGCTGGACCCTGGGGTGTACCCCAACTCGTCTCTGCAGGGGACTCCACCCCCACCACCCGCCCCCCACGCCCTGCAAAACTGTGATCTGGGGCTGGGTCCGACCTGACTTCCTGTTCCAGCCACGCTGGCCATTGAGGTGAGAGCTGCAGTGACCAGGGCCCAGGGCTGCCCGAAAAGGCCTGGGCAGAACAGCGTTCCGGGAGCATGGCTTCGGGGGGCTTGGCCACCGCTGGACTGCACGCCCCCCCGCTCCGTGGGAGAAGAGACAGAAGCGGCGGCAGAGTGGACTGAGATCTGGACTCTGGGTGGGCCTGGACACGCCCACTCTGGATGGGACGGTTCAAGGAAGCCCACGTGGGCTGCCCAGGAGAGGACGGTTCGAGGAAGCCCAGTGGCTGCCTGGGGTGGGGCGTGCGGGGGACCAGAGTGTCCTGCCACTGTGCCTTTCCCCGGGGAGAGTTGAGACTTCACTCACAGGACATGCCCTGTGACCCTGGACACGGGGCTGGACACTGGCGGGAGTGGGAGGCATATGTCGGGCCTCTGAGCACGCAGACTGAGTCAGCTCGAGGCCAAGGCGAGCCCAAGGCCAGCCCGGACAGACTGGCCACGCGACCCCCGGCTGGGTGAGAGATGGACTGCGCCGGCCCCCCACCCCCACCCCCACCCCTGGGCCTGACAACAACGATGACGACGGTGAAGACCAGAACATTCTCTGAAGCCCACATGCGCTCCAGAAGCCATGGGACACGGAGAAGCGCCCGGAAAGCCGTGTGGACTGCACCTGGTTCCTGTGGAAAGAAGGATTCAGCTCACAGAAGGTTCCAGAAGCTCTCCTTCCCGCCGGCCGACTTTTCACAGGTACCCAGACCCGCCTAGAGCCAGGCTGGGGAGCAGGACAGGGGGCGGGGAGGAGGAAGATTCTGGGCCTCGGGGTGGGGGGGGGGCCAGGGCGCCGCGAGTGGCGTCGAGGGGGACCCCAGAGGAGGCACCGGAACAGCTTTCTTCCCACCTTCCCGCGCCCAGGTCAGCTCTGAGCCGGAGCCTCGCCCCGATGACGTCTCGCGTGTCCTGTGGCGGCCGGCGGGAGGCAGTGCTCCTAATGTGTCCCCTGTACTTCTCAGGAGACACTTAGGACTCTACCCCCCGCCCCTGCACCCAGCATCACCAGGGCCTCAGAACAGCACACCTGGGGGTGGGCAGGGCCGCGGGCAGGGCGGCTGGCAGCAGGGCGGGCAGCGTGGAGGAGGAGGAGGAGGAGGAGGAGGAGGAGGAGGAAGAAGAGGAAGAAGAGGAAGAAGAGGAGGAGGAGGGGGAGGAGGGGGGAGAGGAGGGGAGGGAGGAGGGAGGAGGGAGGAGGAGGAGGAGGAGGAGAGGAGGAGGGTGCCCAGCGGTGCCACGGCCAGGAGCCTCTGCAGCTGAGCCAGGCTGCAGGGGTGGGGGGGGCCGCTGGCGGAGTTCTATACCTGCACTTTCCAAAGCACTTTATGTCTGCGTGGTGCTGCGAGAGCCTGTGTGGGGGGCTCCTCCCGGACCCCCATGTATGTGTGTGTGTGTGTGTGTGTGTGTGTCTCCTTCTGGACCCCGTGTGTGGGGGGGTTCCTCCCGGACCCCCAAGTATGTGTGTGTGTGTGTCTCCTCCTGGACCCCGTGTGTGTGTGTGTGTGTGTGTGTGGGTCCTCCTGGACCCTGTGTTGGGGGGCTCCTCCCGGACCCCCATGTGTGTGGGGGCTCCTCCTGGACCCCAGGGCCAGACGAACTCAGCCAAAGTCTTGGTTGGACAGAGGGGCCTGGGGGGCTCCGCGCAGCAGGTGGGTGGGTGCTGGCCCTGCGCACAGCGGACCCGGGCCCAGTCGCTGCGACCCCATAGGGTCCCCTGAGCCCACCAGGAGTGACCCTCAGTGCAGCGCCAGGATCAGCCCTGGGCACTGCTGGGGCGGCCCCCCAAAACAGCAGGAAGAGGGAGACCCCCAGAGCACCTCAGCCCCGGCCCCCTCCCAGCCCTCTGCCTTCCGGGGCCTGGAACCCACCGCCCCTCCCCTGCACGCACCTGG